TCCTCCAGCAGGGGCTCTGAACCAGTCCCTGGTCAGCCAGGCAAGGAAGGGTTTGGAGGTCAGATGCATTCCAGGGTGTAAGGAGAAACACAGGGAAGGAAAAGCAGCTTTTGGAGGCAGTGGATCCCAGGTGTCAGGTGGTCTCCCAGCCAGGAGCCAGCCTCCCCTTGCCTGGGCCACAGGTGAAGTCAGGTTTGGGCTATAAGAGGAATGGAGATGCCCAGCAGGTGGGGAGGGTGTGATGGGCTGCAGGAAGCACCCTTGCCACAGCTGTGTTGTCACCGCCCCTGGAATCAGCCAGCCTGCATCAGCTAGCTGCCCAGAGCCACACCACCTCCCTTCCCAGGGCCACGTGAGGAAGCCCTCCTGGGAAGTTCTGTGGGAGGCTGTGATCAAGCTTCTTTTATGGCCTCAGCCTCAGCAGGGCCTACCTGGATTCCAGAGTAGCTGTGCAGTGCTGGGCCCAGGCAAGGAAGGGAGTCAGTCCCCGAAGCAGTGACCTCCAGCACGCCAAGCTCAGAGTTCCTCCAACCAGATGCCAGAGAGGCCTCCTCCTTCCTGTCTCTGGGAGATGCTTGCCTAGTACAGAGGCCTCTCCCAGCCCCCTCGGATGCCAGGTCTGACTTCACAGATGGTGCCTTCTGTATTAATAACACACTGAGCTAAGCTGAGCGTGGCAGATGGTGGGTGGGACTCATGCATGCAGCAGGCTGCCTCCAGACTGTGTCATGTACATTCCAGAGGCATCTCATGATCATAGAAACTGAGTTCCTCGGCAACAGATCATGGGCCTGCACTGACCCCAGAGGTACACACGTCTGCCATCTGCCAGGTGTCTTCATGCCACAGCCCCTTTCCACTCCCATCTACTACCCCATGCCTGGCACCCACCGCCAGGTCCCCTGCTCTGACCTCAGTTGGCTCTGCAGAATGGATATGAACCCCAGAGAAGCTCCAGTCCTTAACTTCACCTGCCTAGTAAGAGGCCCGTGAGGGCCGGTGTTGCAGCACAGTGGGTAAAGCCGTGGATTGTGATGCCAGCATCCCATAACAGTGCTGGTTCAATTCCTGGCTGTTCTGCTTCTGATCCAGCTAGCACACCTGAGAAAGCAGTGGAAGTTCTCCCAAGTATTTGGGCCCCTGCCACCCAGGTGGAAGACCTGGATGGAGTTCCAGTCTCCTGACTTTGACCTGGATTAGTCCCAGCTGTTGCAGTCATTTAGGAGTGAATCAGAGGATCTTTCCTCTCTCTCTCTCTCTCTCTCTCTCTCTCTCTCTCTCTGCTGTCATTCTGTCTTTCAAATAAATATTTTCTTAAAAAAATAAATACATACATAAAAAAGGCCTATGTACTCCTGGTCCCCAGAGGAGCCCCTAAAGTTGGAAAGGTCATATCTGCCTTCGAATCCACAGCGTGACTTCACTTTCCCCATCTGTAAAAAGGGCTACTCCCTGCCTTGTGAGGACCACATGAGAAAACAGGGAAGGTGCCCAGCATGTACCGGCCATTAAAAAGACCCTTCCCCTCTCTGTGGCTTAGGACAGTGTGGGGGACCCAAGCAGGAGCACCTAAGGCATGTCCCAGTCCAGGCCCAGAGTTGTGGCCAGCTGAACATAGGTCCAGGCACAAATCACTCATGAGAAACAGCCCCCACAGCACCTACGCTTCCTATCTACACAGCTTGCAGAATTACTGCAAGAATTAATATGAACTAGTGCCCCAACTCAAGATGGTTTGACTCACAATGTCTTCACTTTACAATGGAAAGTGTAGCCATACAGCCATTCTGTTTCTGACTCTGGGATGGCAGTCAATAAATTACACAGAACAGGCTTTGTGTGAAATGCCTGTGCCCAACCACAGGCCAGGCCAAACTACAAGGTGTGGTATGTTAGGTGCACTAAATGAATTTGTTTAATTTTTTAAAAATTTTATTTAAGAGGCAGAGATGGAGTTCCCATTCACTGGTTCACTCCCCAAATGCCTGCACTGGTTGGGCCTCAGTTGTGAATCAGGAACTCAATCCAAGTCTCCACATGGGTGGTAGGAACCCAATCACTTGAGCCATCACTGCTGCCTCCCAGGACCTGCATTAGCAGAAAGGTAGAGCTGGGTATTGAACACCCATGTACTGCAACAGGGGACGTGGTCAACCCGGCCAAATGCCTGCCCTAACATGCATTTTCAACTTAGAATATTTTCAACTTACTGTGAGTTTATCAAGATGTAATCCCAGTGTAAGTCAGGGAGCACCTGTACAACAAGCACAGGGAGATTCAGCAAGTTGGATCCTACACACAGACACACAGACACACATACTGCACTTGGACCTGCAAAGACCAGCCTACCCTTGACCCAGGCCACAGGACTCAGAGGTTTGTTAACTCATGAAGGAGCCAGTGCTCAAGGCAGGCTCTGCCTTGCCCAACTGTCAGCAGCACAGCCATCAGCATGGCTGGGGGAATCTCATCCACAACAGCAGAAGCCCTGGCAGGAAGACCCAGGTGACAGGCCTCTCCCCACATGGCCGCAGACTCACTTCTGTGCAGCCCCCTCTTGCCCATGGCCACCAGGACAGAACATCTGTCATTCTGGTGAGTTCAACCCCACTCAAGTCTGCTCCAGGATTTGAATGGTGGTCTCTTCCCTTTCAAACCCCTTCCTTCTCTCTCCCAAAACCCCTAAGCTGAGAAGACTCAGTAAGGCCCACTTGCTTCACGAGGGCAGTGTAATTCAAACAACCCACTTCCTTGTTTTCTTAGCTGGTGGCTTCTATGTCTCCTGGACATAACACTTGAAACGCCAACCAAGAATTTAATTTGCAAACCATCAGCACCTCCAGAAATGGCTGCTTTATGGTTAATTTCGACAATCTTGTTTGTCTTTTAGTTGAAACTTCCCTATTTGGACTAAGGCAGAGAGGAGGAGGAAGGAAATAAAGACTGTGAGAGGGGGAGGGGCTGTAGGAGGCTGCTAGGGTGCCCTTGACACTGCCCTACTAAACCTGCACACTGTCCCCGCCCAACTCTGGCTTCCTTGCAACCCAGCTGGGAAGGCAGGTGCACAGAAAGGCATGCACTCTGTTTCTCACCCAGCAGGTCTAGGCGATGGACTGGAGGAGTGGGAGGTCTGGGCCTCCACGCAGGACAGTGCAAGGTGGAGTGTGGAGCCTGACACCCTTGGCTGTGACCCTGGGCAAGTAACTCTCCTTGCTTGTTTCCCCACCTGAAGAATGAGGACAATAACCCGGTCTCTAATTACTGTGATGTCTGAGCTGATGAGCACACAGAGCCTTTTTACCTGTGTCTGTGGCACATAGCAAGCTCCGTGTGTTACAACTGACCAAGCCCTTCCTCCTCTCTTCAGACTCAATCAGCTGCCTGCTTCAAACCTGCATCAATGGCTTAGCACAAGGGCACAAGTGGCCCCTTTGGTAACTAGCAGGTGTGGCAGTTGAGGAGCTGAAATCAGGTCCTGTGTTTGGAAGCCCAGTGGGGTGGGCAGGGACACTGCTGCCCAAGCTGCCCTTTCAGCCCCTACCTAGTGCATCCTGACCACAGGAACAGGCACGGAAACACTCCCAGTGGCCACAGCTCCAGAGCAAGTCTTTTCGTGAGCCAACAGCATAGAGTCTGTGCCTGGGTACCAGCACCAGGACTCTCCCTGTCCTGTGAGGATGGCGCTGGGCTTTGAACACTGACACTCACAGCGTCCTGCTCAGTCTCCACCTGTCCACTTCACATTAGAGACAGAAGAAAACTGGAATTCTACTTATCTGAAGGCTCTGACATCAAATGCCCACCCTAGAGCTCCACCCGCAGAAACTTTCAAAGCCACCTTCCTCCTGGTTCTGAGACCAGATTCTCTTGCAGAGAGTCATCGCTGACTCCCAGGGGACTCTGGGGCCCTGGTGCAGAGTCTGCTTCAACAAAGGACAGCCCAGGAGATATGCCTGTGTCTCCATTTCAGGGTGAGTCAAGTGCGCTGCCTGGGTGGAGATGGAATGTGGAAAAACATCTTTTGGGGCTTCCCCCAGCTCTCCTAGTGCAGTCACAGGGTCGCAGAGTCGTGTGAGAAGCTCCCTGCTGGTCCCTGCCCTGTGCCTCCCCACCTCCCCGGGTCTGTCACAGACCATCTGCCATCCCAGGAGGCCCAGGCCCAAACCCACCTCCAAAGGCCTCTCTGTGTTGCTCAAGCCACTCCCTCACTGCCAGCACTATGGTGCCATCACGACCCCAGCTCCAGGTGCACATTCATATTTGTGAGTTGCAGAAACGAAACTGTGTCAGCTCAGCCACTCAGTGATGAGGGTCTCTGAGTTCTCCCAAGAACGCCTGAGGTCATTCGGTCACTCAACGCATCACTCAACCCATTCAAAACACTGTTTCCTACAGTAGCTATCAGCACATCATTTCAAACCACCTCCAAGTCACTGGAGGGAATGCCTTGTCCCCTCTGGCCACACGGGCCCTGCAGGTGCAGAGAAAGTGCTTTGGATCAGAGTTTAAGGTTTAAATCTGGTCTGGGGTTTGGGCCCTGCCGTGGGTCCGGGAGGATCTAAACGGCCCCTTCCCATCGGTTTTTGCATCTCTGGAGTTGGCCCAGGGCCCCTCACTCACTCGCTGCCCGCGCGCTCGGGGCCACGTGTCATGTGGAGGAGACAAAGCCTCCTCCTGCCCTCCAAGGGGTGCGCCGCTTCCGCAAGACAGGGCTGCTCCTGCGCCAGGCCAGCTCCAGGAAGGTGCCCCTCCGGCGGCGTCGCAGCCACTCCGAAGCAGACCCAGGCGGGAGTGGTTGCTGAAGTGTGGACGTCGGGGGCGGCACCCTACGGCCCAGTCTGCTCTCCCCTCCCCGGGCTACCACAGGGCGCAGGGGGGCTGGGTTCGGCCCAGGGGGAGCTGACGAGTGGCGGACCCTGAACTGGAGCTCACCGCGGACCCCGAAGGCGCGGGGGAGGGAGCGCAAGCCGGGGCGCCCGCCAGCAGGAGAGGCTACTCACCAGCCAGCCGCCGCCGCGGGCCGTGCGCGAAGTCCCCTGGGCTCGAGGACGCAGCTCGCAGCCGGCAGCTTCCTTTCTACACCGCACGCACGCCCCGCCCCGCCCGGGCCCGCCCCCTGCCTCCCCGCGCGGGTTCCCGCAGCGCGGGACTCCCGGGCCCCGGCGAGGGCTCGCGGGGAAAGGGGGATCCGATTCCGGCCTGGCGCTCCGGTTGGGAAGAAGTTGGATGACGGGGCTGAGTCGCAACGCCAGACGGCAGCTGTCCCAACAGAGTCAGGGAAGGTGGCCCCTCCCTCCAGCGACGCCTTCTCGTGGTGCTCTGCCTTCAGAGTAACCCCTAGGAGAGCAATTCTGGAAACTTCGAAGGATGGAAACGTCTGGTAAAGGCATGAGGACCAAGGGTCATCTGAGCCCCTACTCACCAGTCCTCTGTCCGGAGGAGTCCACAGTTGGCACCTGCAGCGCACCCCAAAGGAGGAACGCACGTGACCCCAACAAAAAAGAAACAGAAACAGGAAAGCAAGTTTCTGGAAAGGAGGAGGAAGCAAATAGGGCCGAGAAACTTGCTATAAATGAACATAGGAACAGAAACTAAATAAAAACTAATGATAAAAGTAGGGGAGGCTGGAAAAAAAACATATAGTTGTATTAAAATAATAAAATCAGTGATTTTCTTCTTTGTACATTTTTTGTACTTGCCAGTTTTTCTTAAATGACTATGGCAGGGTTGGTGCTGTGGCATAGCTGGTTAACGCCCTGGTCTGCAAAGCTGGCATTACATGTGGACAGCGATCTGAATCCTGGCTGCTCCACTTCCAATCCACCTCTCTGCTAATGCACCTGGGAAAGCAGCGGAGGAAAGCCCACGTCCTTGGGCCCCTGCACACAGGTGGGAGACCTGGAAGCAGCTCCTGGCTCCAGTAACCTCAGCTCCAGCCATTGCAGCCATTTGGGGAGTGAACCAGCAGATGGAAGACCTATCTCTCTGTAACTCTTTCAAATAAATAAATCTTCTTTAAACATTTAAAAAATGACTATGACACTAATTTTACAATGAATAAAAATTTTAAAAATGATTGTGACACTAATTTTACAATGAATGAAAACTTAACGTTGAAAATTAGATAAAGGAGGGGTGGGTGCTGTGTCAGGGCAGATTGAGCTGCTGCTTAGGACAACCCTCCCCTCCATCTAATAATATTACTGGGTGGAGTCCCGGCTGCACCAGCTCCCTGCTAATGGCCTGGGAAAGGCAGCAGAAGATGGCCCAAGTGTTTAGGCTTCTGTCACCCACTAGGAGACTCAGATGAAGCTCCTGGTTCCAGTCTTCAGCCTGGCCCAGCCCTGGCTGTTGCAACTATCTGGGAAGTGAACCCGCGAATGAAGATCTCTCTGTCTCTGTCTCTCCCTCTGCATCTCTCTCTCTGCAATCTTTCAAATAAGTAAATCTTTTTTTTAAAGATTTATTTTATTTATTTGAAAGACAGAGTTACAGAGAGAAGTAGAGACAGAGAGAGAGGTCTTCCATCTGCTGGTTCACTCCCCAGATGGCCGTAACGGCCGGAGCTGTGCCGATCCGAAGCCAGGAGCCAGGAGCTCCCTCCAGGTCTCCCATGTGGGTACAGGAGCCCAAGGACTTGGGCCATCTTCCATTGCGATCCCAGGCCATAGCAGAGAGCTGGATTGGAAGAGGAGCAGCCAGGACTAAAACAAGCACCCATATGGGATGCTGGTGCTTCAGGCCAGGGCTTTAACTTGCTACACCACAGTGCCAGCTCTTCAATTCAGTAAATCTTAAAGAAAGAGAGTGGCAGCTTAACCCACTGTGCCACAATGCTAATCCCAAAACTTTTGGTTTTCATACACAATTTAAATAGGCTCTAAAGGAGGTGTCAAAAAGAAAAATCTGTACATTTTGAACAAAAGTAGGCTCATTCCAATAAATATATTTGCTCCTATGCTGATTGGCGTGAAGGGGACAGTACTCATTTGGGTGTCTAAGATGACAGTACAGAGGATTCCATCTGTAGTCCCAGCACAACATTGTCCCCACAGTGCCAGTCTGGAGTTTGAGGCCAGGTACAACCTTGTGCTGCATTCAGTGTAGAGTTCCTCATTTGGCCAACAGAAACTGGCCCACAGAAGCTGAAAGTCATTTCTGGCACTCATGTCTAGTGTCATACATATGTTTCTAGGACTGTAAGTTTATTTCTAGTCTCCTGTAGGGGCCTCCCAGGCCAATTCATGCTCCTAAAACTGTCCTCAGGCTTTCACCGCAAAATCTTGTTAGGGGAGCTTAATTTCTTCTCCTTTCCTTCTCCTTCTGCTTGTTTTCTTCTTTTAAAAAGATTTATTTGACAGTCAGAGTTACAGAGAGAGAGCAAGGGCCAGAGATCTTCCATCTGCTGATTTACTCCCCAGATAGCCTCAATGGCCAGAGCTGGGCGAGGCTAAAGCCAGAAGCCTGGAACTCCATCCATGTCTTCCACGTGGATGCAGGGGCCCAAGTTATTTTGCCATCTTCTGCTGCTTTCCCAGGTAATTTTCCAGGAAATGGAACAGCTGGGACTCAAACTGGTGCTCATGTGGGATGCCAGTATCACAGGCAGTGGCTTAACCCACTTCTACACAACACCAGATCCAAGGAGCTTAATTTACTAGTTATCTAGTAAACCTTCCAACTTCGACACTACTCAACTCTCCCTTCTTTTTCCTTTCTCCCCCCCTCCTTCTTCTTGTTTGTTTTGTTTTTTTTTAGGATTTATTTATTTAGGGGCTGACATTGTGGCACTGGGGGGTCAAGTCAAGACTTGCAGTGCAGGCATCCCATATCAAAGCTCTGGTTTGGGTCCTATCTGTTCCACTTCTGATCTAGCTCCTTGCTAATGTACCTTTCTTGCAAAGATGAAACTCTGGATCTGGAGGCACTAGTTGGGAAATTTGGAAGGTGGTGGAATTCTTTCATAATTGAATTACAGTAGTCTTGACACAGCTGTGTATTTTCTTTTTTTTTTTTTCTTAATTTTATTTAAAGAACCAATTTCAGGGGCCAGTACTGTGGCGTAGCAGGTAAAGCTGCCGCCTGCAAGTGCCAGCATCCCATGTGGCCGCCGGTTCAAGTCCCGGCTGCTCCATTTCCTTATCCAGCTCTCTACTATGGCCTGGGAAAGCAGTAGAAGATGGCCCAAACTCTTTGGCCCCTGCACCCACATGGGAGACCTGGAAGAAGCTCCTGGCTCCTGGCTTCAGATCGGCGCAGCTCCGGCCATTGTGGCCAATTGAGGAGTGAACCAGTGGATGGAATATCTCCCTCTCTTTGGCTCTCTTCTCTCCGTGTAACTCTCACTTTCAAGTAAAATAAATAAATCTTTTAAAAAAATAAAGCATACAAATTTCATGTATTTCATATATACAGATTTAGGAACATAGTGATACTTTCTATCCTACTCTCCTTCTTGCCCATGTTCCCACCCTTCTTCCTCCTCACTCTCCTATTTCCACTCTTAAATTTTACAAAGATCAATTTTCGGTTTACTTTATATTCATAAGATTAACCCCACACAACTAAAGAGTTCAACAAATAGTAAGAAAAAAAAAAACACTGAGCCTCAGCAGTAGAGACAAGGGCTATAAATGATCATTGAAACTCAAAATGCCAGTTTTACTCCAATATATTACATTTTAGGCACTCTATTACTTACCCCAGATCAGGGAAAATGTATGATATATGTCTATTTGGGACTGGCTTATTTCACGGAGTATAACAGTTTCCAGTTCCATTCATTTTACGGCCAAAGACAAGCTTTCGTTTATATTTTACTGCTAAATAGTATTCCATAGTGTATTTATACCATAATTTCTTTATCCAGTCATCAATTGATGAACATCTGAGTTGATTCCATATCTTAGCTATTGTGAATTAAGCTGCAATAAACATGGGTGGTACAGATAACTCTTTTATATGATGATGTCATTTGAGTGAATTCCCAGAAGTGGGATTGCTGAGTCATATGATAGATCTATATTCAGATTTCTTAGGTGTCTCCATACTGTCTTCCAAAATGGCTATACTAGCTTGCATTCCCACCAGCAGTGGATTAGGGTATCTTTTATCTCTTATCCTCACCAGCATTTACTGTTTGTTGATTTCTGTATGATGAGACCCATTCTAACTGGGGTGAAGAGAAACTTCATTGTGGTTTTAATTTGCATTTCCTTGATGGCTAGTGATCCTGAGCATTTTTTCACATGTCTATTGGCCATTTGACTTTCCTTTTTTAAAAAATGTTTGTTCAAGTCCTTTGCCCATTTCTTAACTGGATTGTTTGTTTTGTTGTTGTTGAGTTTCCTGAGCTTTTTATAGATTCTGGATATTAATCCTTTATCAGTTTCATAGTTTGCAAATAGTTTCTCCCATTCAGTCAGTGCCCTCTTCACTTGGAAAAGACTCCAGACGTTTGAAGTTTTTTTTTTTTCCCCAGTGCAGAAGCTTCTCGTCTTGATGTAATCCCAGTTGTCAATTTTGGCCTTGATTACCTGTGCTTCTGCTTCTGGAGTCTTTTCCAAGAAGTCTTTGCTTATGTGAATGTCCTGCAGAGTTCTCCCAATGTTCTCTAGTAATTTGATGGTATCAGGTCATAGATTTAGGTCCTTGATCCATTTTGAGTGGATTATTGTGTAAGGTATAAGGTAGGGGGTCTGATTTCATACTTCTGCATGCAGAGATCCAGTTTTCCCAGCACCATTTCTTGAAAAGACTGTCCTTGCTCCAGGGATTGATTTTAGCTCCTTTGTCAAAGATATGTTGGTTGTGGATGTGTGGATTGATTTCTGGAGTTTCTATTCTGTTCCCTTGGTCTACACATCTATTTTTTGCCACTACCAGGTTGTTTTGATTATAACTTCCCTGGTATTACAATGCTTTTGGCTTTGTTTCTGTTGTATAAGATTGCTTTAGCTATTCAGGATCTTTTGTCTTTCCATATGTATTTTAGCATCATTTTTTCTAGATCTAAGAAGAGTGTCATTGATATTTTGATTGGGATTGCATTGAATATGTAAATTGCTTTTAGTAGTGTGGACATTCTGATGATATTCATTCTTCCAATCCATGAACATGGAAGATTTTTCCATTTTTTGTGTCTTCTATTTCTTTCTTTAATGTTTTATAATTTTTATGTAAAGATCTTTGATTTCCTCGGTTAAATTTATTCCAAGATATTTAATTCTTTTTGTAGCTACTGTGAATGGGATTGATCTTAGAAGTTCTTTATCAGCCATCGGATTGTTTGTGTATAAAAGGCTGTTGACTTTTGTGTGTGAATTTTATATTCTGCCACTCTTCCAAATTCATATGAGTTCCAATAGTCTCTTGGTGGAGTCTTTTAGTTCCCCTA